ATATATGCATGTACTGAAAATATTGAAAAGTATCTTTGAAACCTAACCTCAAATTTGAAAACTGTTTATCACTTAAAAATATTTACGTGAAACTATAAAAATAATTTTTTCTTTACTTAGGAATCTTAATTATATCTATTAACATTTATTTTTACCCACATAGCACAATAGTATGAGGTAAGGTTATGTTGAATACTAATCGTAAGGCACATAAGGTTACACGATATTGCTGTGGTAGACCTAAGGTGAACTAAAAACTTCCGCCATGGAGGTGAGGTTACATGTTAGGGTGTGGTGACTATATATGATAAGGCCATGGTAACCTTACACGTTAAGGTTGAGGTAACGTTATATGTTAAGGTTGAGGTAAGGTTACATGTTAAGGTTGAGGTAACGTTACATGTTAAGGTTGAGGTAACGTTACATGTTAAGGTTGAGGTAAGGTTACATGTCAAGGCTGAGGTAAGGTAATTATTAAGTTGTAAGGTTGAGGTAAGGTTGTGATAAGTTTACCAGTTATAGAAAATATTGAAAAAATAATTAATAAATAAATATTCAATTAAAATGTTAAGTTTGTTGCTCTTCACTATTTTGGAAACCTGACATGAAGCAGAAAATTTTGAAAACAAATTTGGGGGGACTGGGATTCGAACCCGAGATCGACGCGCATAAACCTATCATTCTAACTAACTGAGCTAAGTAGAGAACTGGCAGAAGGAAAATTAATGTTGCCTTTAAGGTGAACCAAGAAGATGATTAACTCCTTAAAGGCAACATTAATTTTCCTTCTGCCAGTTCTCTTCTTAGCTCAGTTAGTTAGAATGATAGGTTTATGCGCGCCGATCCCGGGTTCGAATCCCAGTCCCCCCAAATTTGTTTTCAAAATTTTCTGCTTCATGTCAGGTTTCCAAAATAGAGAAGAGCAACAAACTTAACATTTTAATTGAATATTTATTTATTAATTATTTTTTCAATATTTTCTATAACTGGTAAACTTATCACAACCTTACCTCAACCTTGACATGTAACCTTACCTCAACCTTAACATGTAACGTTACCTCAACCTTAACATGTAACCTTACCTCAACCTTAACATGTAACGTTACCTCAATTTTAACGTGTAAGGTTACCATGGCCTTATCATATATAGTCACCACACCCTAACATGTAACCTTACCTCCATGGCGGAAGTTTTTAGTTCACCTCAGGTCTACCACAGCAATATCGTGTAACCTTATGAGCCTTACGATTAGTACTCAACATAACCTTACCTCATACTATTGTGCTATGTGGGTAGGTTAATTGAATAATGTCACCGAAAGGAAAATGTACTTTTCAGTCTGACTGGTTATTTCAACCAGAATTTAAATCCTGGATCGAGAAAGTTCCGAATAATAACTTCAATGCTCGTTGTAAACTATGCAATGCCGAGATTAATTTGAGTAGTATGGGAAGGCAATCTCTTATTAGTCATAGTAACGGTATAAAAAATCTACAAAAGGTAAACAGTGCTAATGAATCTATGTCTATAAATAAATTTGTGAATCTTTCAAAAAACACGATTTCAAATGAAAAAGTTCCATTAAATTCAATTGTCGAAAATACTTCAGATGTCAATTCACTTTATTCATCTGCCCAGCAAGTATCGTGTACTACTGGTACTCAAACGGAAACGACAAAATTAAGTTCGGAATCTCGAGGTTTGTCGAAATTTTTTAAGAACGATGACATTACTAAAGCTGAAATATTGTGGAGTTTAGAAAGTGTTATTACTCATAAGTCTATGAGAACAGTGGGTGAAGATGTTAAACTTTTTTCATTGTTGTTCCCTAATAGCGACATTGCAAAAAAGATGCAACTGCAAAGAACAAAAGTTGGATATACTCTACTGCATGCTGTAGCACCATATTTTAAAAGTAATCTCGTAGATCTGTTACTTACCTGTTCTTGCGTTGTGATCGGTTTTGATGACGCATTGAATAAAATATGTCAAAGATCTCAGATGGACATAAATGTAAGATATTGGCATAAAAGTACCAACGAAGTTTGTACACGATATTACGATTCAGCTTTTTTAAGTAGTTGCAAGGCTTCAGATCTATTATACGCATTTAAGCAATCTGTTTCAAGTGTAGGATTAGAAAAAATTCTTCAAGTGTTGATGGATGGTCCGAATGTGAATATGAAGTTCTTAAAAGATTTGAAAATTGATTTAAAAGAATCAGGAATTGAAACAAAAATATTGGATCTTGGAACTTGTGGTTTACATGTTGGAAATAATGCTTTTAAAGCTGCTATAACTGCTACAGGGTGGAATATCATCTCATTTTTAAGATCCTTATATTTATTTTTTAAAGACGTTCCAGCCCGAAGAGCACTTTTCACCCCGTGTACGAAGTCGCAAAGTTTTCCTTTGAAATTTGGTACTACACGTTGGCTAGAGAATGCAGACGTTTCCACGAGAGCAAGCGAATTACTTCCATTGCTGAAAATATTTATAAGTCATTTAAAAAAAAATAAATTGGAACCTGATTCAGTCAGTTATAAAAAATCGTGGAATTTTTAAAGGATCCTATGCTAGGTTCAAAATTAGCATTTTTTTAAAACTTTAGCAGGTGAAGTAGAACCATTTTTATGTGAATTTCAGTCGGACCTCCCACTTGCACCGTTTCTCGATTCTGCATTGAAATCAGTTCTTTGCTCAATAATGGAGCGTTTTATCAAATCGTCTAAAATTACATCAACAGTTGATGTTTATGATAAAGAAAATCTAATCTCTATAAAAGAAATTGACCTAGGATTCGAAACTTATATAGAAATAAAGAAATCTAAAGGTGCAACAGAATTAGACATTTTAAAATTGCGAAAAGATTGTAGGGTAGCTTTATAAAAGTTTATTGCTAAAATAATAGAGCGCTCGCCACTAAAATTTGAACTTTGTAGAGCTATCACATGCTTAGATCCTGCAATTGCTGTTCAAAACGATAAAGTTCTTGGAAAAAAGCGAATGAAGAAACTTTTAAGTATTCTATATGAACATAATTGGATACAAAGTAAAACAGCTGAGAGAGCAGCATTTCAATACAATTTAGTTTGCTCAAATTCTGCTTCTGAAAGCAGCATGAAAAATTTTAGGAGACAAGAGCGACGTTTAGACCAACAAAAAGTCTTATTTTCTCAGTGCGAAATGCTCATTCCCGATACGTTGAAGCTTTTAAAATTAAGAACACACTGAAAACGCAAGAAAAAGCTCAAGCAAACAAAAAAAAAATTAATAATACGAAAGTAAAAAAACTCACTACGAAAAAACAGAAGTTGTTAGAAAATGCACGAAAGGAAGTAGAAACGATTGATGAAGAAATAAAAAATTTAACATAGTCATCGATACTAAAAATTGGTCTGTTTCCTTTCCACTGTATATTCCAGACTTTAATATTATTATTTAAACTTATTATTTAACTTTCTTACTTTTAACAGACTTATTTCTTCAGGTAAAATATATTTTATATATTGTTATTTCTTCAGAGCTGTACAAATTCTATTAATTGCATAAGATTTAAAGTCAGTATTTTAAATAATAAAGATTATAATAATATATATATATACAGTCAACTCTACGAATAGTGCCGCTATCAATAGTGCCACTTCTCCTCTTTCACGCTCGAGCTCTATCCCCACTTTAGCGACTCTAGCACGGCTTCTGAATTTCGAGTTTCCCCTAAGAGAGAAATATACAAACAGTGGGGGTACTACAGTTCCAAGAAAAGTCGTAAACGCTGTGCAATTTTGCGGCACTATTCTATTATAATAATTTACGAAAAACAACGATAAAAAAATAGTTTAATACTTTGTTGTTACTCTTAAAAGTAGTTGATAGCTAACCGGGAAAAAAAATATATTAGCCTGGAAAACCGGGAAATAGCCTGGAATTTTTTTTCTAAATTTTAGTGGCCACCCTGTTAGAGCTTTCGGAGCGTGCATTTAAGACTGGACTTTCTATAAACTCAGAGAAAACGAATATAGTAGTTTTCACAAGGGAATATAAGGTACCAAATTTAAAGAAACCGATATTTTATGGAAGAGAAATCTTTTTTTCAGAATCGGATAAATATCTGGGAGTAATCCTGGACAAAAAGCTGATATGGAAGGAGCATTTCGAATATTAGTATAGAAGGTTCTGTACTGCTTTTTGGGCGTGTAGAAGGGCGATAGGGTCATTGTGAGGACTGAGGCCCAATATGGTCAACTGACTCTATCAGATGATTTTAAAACCCAGGTTTCTTCATGTGGTGGTTGTTTGGTGGACTAGGACTTAACTGGAATGATTAGAGTAAAACTGGGCCAACTCCAAGCAATGGTTCTTAGAGGTATTACGGGAGCTATGAGGAACATGCCAACAGCGGCTTTGGGATGTATACTAGCCGAAGTACCTCTGCATATTGCAGCAGTGAAAAAGGCTACTGTTACTATGAGCAGGCTAACCGTGTAGGGAAGGTGGAAGTTTGTCAGTAAACACACAAAGCTTCCACGTTCAATTCTATCAATACCAGAAATAAGTATGGTGCAAGATAGAATGATCAAAATGATGAAATTTAAACCCCGCTTTAAGACCTTCATACCTTCCAGAATGGACTGGAAAAAGGGTTTTCCATTTGGGGACAAAGTCTGGTATACAGACGGCTCCAAGATGGACTGCGGTGCAGGCTTCGGAATCTTTCGAAAAACTGACTGCATTAATGTGTCTGAGTCACTGGGACAATATGCTACGGTTTGACAGGCTGAGGTCTGTGCAATTTTAACTTGTGCCCAAATGTGCATTAAAAAAGGAACATAGGGCAAGAGGCTCTGAAAAATCCCACAATAGAATCAAAACTCGTTTGGTGCCATAGAGTACTAGATGAGTTGGGTTCAGCTAATAAACATTCGCTGATCTGGGTACCGGGCCACTCGGGGATTAATGGTAATGAAAGAGCAGACGTCTTTGCGAAATCTGTTCCGAGATGGCATTTATAGATCCTGAACCAGCAGTGGCAATAATGCCGTGCTGGGTTAAGGGAGGTATAGAGAGATTGTGTGAGACAAGTAACGGAACTTCGACTCAGATAATATCTGAATTCCCAGCGTTAGCTAGGATCAGTTGGGGTCAATCAATTATTTACTCTAAGCAGGTGAGTAACGTATCGATAGAAGAGATACTGGACTTCTGGAGAAGAACAAGATTGTACAGGGGTTGCTATAAACGAGCGAGCTGGAGTCTGGTTCAATGGGTTTTCTAATCTAGGTGCTTACTTTCCCCTCTTTATGAAAATCCAGCTCGATCTCGGTTGTTGGATTAGATTATTACCCCCTTAGAAGCCCCTCACGCCCGTGTGGGAGTATAAAGGGGGTGGTAGCGGGAAAATGGACAATTTAAAAAAATTTTCATGGTCATATTCAGTTTCAGCGCCCTTAAAAAACGTAGGAGTATAAGGGTCTGTTCTCTGGATCACGAAATTTTTTTCTGTTTGTGTGCCTGTGTAATGAGAAATTCCAAACAAATTCATAAATAGCTCCCAAACCGTTAATCCAATTAAAAAATATTAAAAATACGCATTTATGAGATATCTAAATTACCTTTAATTTCCTTAAAAAAATTGAAATCGATTAACTACATTCGGAAATAATAGTAAATTAGTGAATCCACTTTTTGTCGAGACTCAAAAAATTGAACACCCCTGATGAGGAACCATATATGGTTCGAAACTAGTTGGGATTTTAAAATAATAAATAACATCTAAACAAACCGTAAAATAGGCCTTTTCATTATCTTACAAATGAATCAATGTTCATAGTTTTACTAGACCTTTAACTTGTACTAGGTCTCTATAAAAGTGCAGGCAACTTTTTTTATTTTGGCACACAGTGTAATGAGGTGAAGTGGTTCTTACGTAATAAAAAGAAGTCCTCCTTCATCGACTTTTGCAATAACATGAATAAGTCCTCTGGGATGACACAGACTTGGACAAAAGTTAAGGCCTTCGCATCTTCCACCCAACCTCTTCGAACAGGCATCTTCAATGACCCGGACTCTACCATATTTAAAAGTCTTCAAAATGAACTAGTAAGAGAGGATGTCCTTCCTACTCATCTTCCCAAAACTTCTGATTTAAACTCTAATCTCCTCCTTTTACCGAAAATGAATTTTATCAAGCCTTGAATTATGGGAAGCCTGACTCCTCCCACGGTTTAGACTCTATTATTAATCTTACTATCAGAAAACTCCCTAGAAGAGCGAAAAGATTACTATTGTTGTTATTCAACGAGTTCTACCTTAACTCAACTTTCCCGGACGAGTGGAGAAATATTCGAGTAGTCTTTCTACCAAAACCCAATTGAAAGGGTTATAGACCGATTTCTCTCTCTTCAATGCTCTGCAAACTCTTCGAAAGAATGGTTCACAAAAAATTGGAACACTATATCGAAACTAAAAACGCGATCTTTCTCAACCAATACGGATTTAGAAGAGGCAGGTCTACTGCGGACTGCGTCTCGGCCTTAATTACTGACATTTCCAGTAGATTTACGAAAGAGGAACACACCATAGCAATTGCAGAAGATCTTAAAGGTGCATTTAATAATATTCTTCCTAGGGTTATTTATGATAGACTGGTTGAAATTCACACTCCCAACAAGATAATTAACTTTCTAGATTTCTTGATAACAGTGAAACATCTCTGTTTCTCAACTGATTATAACAATAGTAATGACTCTAATATAGGCGTTCTGCAGGGAGGTGTCCTCTCTCCCCTTCTATTCAACTTAGCAACTAGCAAAATCAACTATATAATTACCGAAACTATAAAATGGCTTTTTCATAACGCAATCATAAAAATGGAGTTATTTGTCTCTCCGTAGGCCAATGTAAAGTTATTCTTTTTAGTACGTAGTTATGAAAATACTGCGAATGACAGTTCAGTTCAAAAAAGAGCTTTGTTTGTGCTTGTTCGAGTATTTTTGTAACGCTCGAGTAGTTGCAATTCCGTCCAGAAGAGGCGTAATTATGTTTTCGTTCAGTTAACTACATTTACCGTGTCTTACAGCAGCAACACAGTATCTGTCAAATACTGAGAGTTTCTAACCTCCTTTTCGTGATCACTCGTGTGAAAAATTCTGTTTTTATTCTTTAATGATATTATTTTTATTAATACGTCGAAGTACACGACTAGGTTTCGGGGGGCTTCGCCCCCCGACGCGTCCGGTGGCTTGGGGTATTATAAAATGCGATTCTTTGAAATGTCGAATATTATTATTATTCTCTTGAGTTGGTTTTTTTGTAGTCGGGGGGCTTCGCCCCCCGAACCCCCTGACCGGGGCTCCGTCCCTGGATCCCGTCGGGGGGAGACCCCCCGAACCGCCCCGCGCGATCAGCTAGTAAGTACGCTTGACAGTGGTTCTGTGTTCCGAATCTTATGTATGCGTTTCTCAACATTCTTTTCAGTTATAGGTATATGTTTTTCAGTGTCAACACCTTTTTATGATTTTGTTATGAAAAGTATCGTGCGCAACACGTGTGGCGGCATTTTGGAACTCGCGCTTCTTTTTCGCAACTCGTTTCCGGTGAGGGCGCCTTCGGCGCCCTCACCTACGACTCGTTACGAAAACTTAGCGCTCGTTCCAAACAGGCCGCTAGTTCACACTTGTTACGCAATGTACTAATCTTTGCAGATTACTTATTATTATACGTTGTAACGATTGCTCTCACAAAATTTACTTTTATTTTATTAAATGTCATTCCAGTGGTTTTTTCTAATTAATTATATTTTACTTTTTGTATTATTATTATTAGCGCGACTTTTCAAGTGAAAAGTTGCAGATGGCGCATAATTCGCGCCTAGCAGACGACAAAAGCACATGTCGCTCGCCGGGCGAAATTAGCGCCAGAGAGAGATTAGCATCTCACCAGAAACGTACTCCGCGCATATATTGCGAATATTGTTTTGTAAACATTACTTGAATATTAATTAAAATTATTATATTAAATTATCTGTGGGATTTTATAAGTGAACCTTCCTGTGTCAATTTCCACCTTTGCAAGGAAATTCATCTTGCGCTGCTTGTTCCTGGCGAGAAATCAACTTCGGTAAATCCATCTTGATTCTCTCATTGGCTCACATAGAGAAGGCTTGTCATCTTGTGGGTTCTCACCTGTGGAAACTTTGCTCGCACCTTTTCTCTTGTGTGCCATCGGTTAAGTCGAACCCCTCTTTAATTATTTATTTATTCTCTAAATTAAATCTTACCCGGTTGCCCACAACGTAAACACGAAAAATCCTCAAAAAGCAATTAATCTTCTAGAAAAATCAATTAACGATCTTATCCCATGGTTGAAAGATATAGGCCTGTCAGTCTCTCCAACTAAATCACAACTCACTATTTTCTCAAAATCAAAACTTGATTTCTCAAACTGTTTCCTTGAGATCGAGAACACCCAGGTTGGAGTCCAAAATGAGATGTCCAGAATTTTGTGGGGGGCTAACCCGAATCTAATGATCACGATCTTTAAAGGATTGACTAGATCACATCATGAGTGGGAATCACAATGCATTTCCAACGCATTAGCCTCAAATCTCAAAACTCTTGATCAAATTCAGAACGAAGCATTAAGAGTGATCCTAGGCTGCATGAGATCCACCCCGATTGGTATACGAATGTCGGATGCTAATATTCCTCTTCTTTACCTAAGATCATTAGCCAATAGAAAATTCCTAATACGCAACCTCTCTGGGACAACTAATCCACTCATTCCAAAATTTAATAGTCTAAAAGAAAACACTGAAACAAATAAGAAGAAAAGCAACAAATCATCCTTTTCACGTTCACCATTATTAGACACATTTATGGATTTACAACAAATTATAGGGAAATCTATAAAAACAAAGAAACCTACCCTACAATTTGACATGTCCTGAGACGAACTAACGAGACCTCTTGAAGAGGACAACAAAGGAAAAAATGAGTTTTTTCAAAATAGTTATAGCTATTTTTACATTCTCATCACATGAGAAAGTATTAGTTTTGGTCGAAAACTAACTTTGGTTAATTTAATGAAATCTTGACGTTTTAGGGTACCTTGAGTCTAAATAACATTATCTACAAAAAGTGTCTGCCTGTATGTCTGTCTTCGTGTCTGTCTGTAGACACAATAATGTCGTGATGATAACTTTTGATAAACTTATTGTATCAACTTGCAACTTTTCATGTACAAAGTTAAATATATTTATTTATATAAAATTAATTGTTTCTTTAATAAAATAAAATCTTTAGATCTACAGTACCGTCCGAAATTGTCAGTCCACCCATTTTTAAAGGAATGAAAAAAATTTGTTAACATAAAATTCATGAAAACTAAATTTTTTTTGGTTTATATTTTAAAAGACGATTAAATTTTGAAGAGAATAAGACCTTACAGAAGTCATTTGGCCAAAATTTGTAGAAGATATTCTTAAAAATCGTCATTTTCAATGTTTCACAAAAATTTGAATAACTTCTAAAATAATGAACGCTTTTTAATAATCTTAGGCTTATTTTAAAGGTCATTTTCTACGGAATAAGAATTACTTATAGGCATTAACCTGTAATTTTTTACTTGGAATAAGCATGCCGTCAAAGTTGGACAAAAAAATTCAAAAAATTTGAAACAATATTATTAAAAGAAAAATAATTTTTGAAATTCAAACATATTGTTTTATTAAATTTTCTTGAAGAATCTACACCATATCATGTTTTATATATGTTCTAGAATAGTTTTTAGTACAAAAAATTTATTTCAAATTTTTCCAATTTTTTTGTCCAACTTTGACGTCATGCTTATTCCAAGAAAATAATTACAGGTTAATGCCTATAAGTAATTCTTATTCTGTAGAAAATGACCTTTAAAATAAGCCTAAGATTATTAAAAAGCGTTCATTATTTTAGAAGTTATTCAAATTTTTGTAAAACATTGAAAATGACGATTTTTTAAGAATATCTTGAAAAAATATTTGCCAAATGACTTCTGTGAGGTCTTATTCTTTTCAAAA